TAGGCCACCAGAGCTCCCCTTATTTGTAACTTTTTGAGAAAGTGCCATACTGCCTTCCACAGTGGTTGCACCATACACACTTCATTTTTATAGTGCCCAAATTCCTCATCCTTAATTGGGAGTCTAGAAACATCATGGTAGTTTTAGTCAATAGAATATTGCTTTTTACTTAATTCTGTCTACATCTATACCCATTTTGTTTCTGTATCCCAGTTATATTTTGTGTATCTATAAAAGCAGATATGTGTATAGAATTACATAAGTAGTGATGTATGATCTTTTTTCCCATTTTAATATTACTTCATCTTAGTATCATCTTAGATACTAAGATGAAGTAATATTATTCATCTTAATTTTTTATTTTGATAAATTATTTTAATAAAAATAAATTTTTTATTGTGATAAATATTTTATGAGTAATATTGCTCAGCACATAGCATGCCTATATAGTATTCTACTTTATAGTTATAATTTGTGTCCTACAGATGGCTGCACAGCTTATTTCTAATCTTCCAAATAGTGCTCCTGCAAATAATCTTATATATATGCAGATTTATAAAAGAGGAGTTGATGGATTGAAGGGCATGTGCTTTTGTAGTTTTTATGTTTTCTGCTTGTCTTTGTTATTCCTTGCTTTTCTTAACATGATCTTGTCCTGTTGCCATGGTATCTGTGTATGTTATGTGCTTCTTGCTCTGTGATTTCTCTTTAGGATCCAGCCAAATGATAACTGTTCTCCAGGAGAGTCTGCTGATAAATCCTTGTGTTCATTCCTTGGCGTTTCCTGTCATTTGCGTTCCTTCCACTCTCGTGGAAAATCTGATTTCATAAATTTGCTTTGACTCACCAAAGAGTGTTTTCTTTTGTTTCTATCAAATCTAGGAGTGTTTGTGCTTAGAAATGATGCTGAGTAAATTACTGAGCATAATTCTTAGGTATCCTTACTGTTCTGCTTAGCTTTATAGACTCCAGGTCCTTTCATGTGAAATTTTCATTTAATACTTATTGACTATTTATAAATAGTGAAAGATCTTAAAATACTATTGTTGATATTTTATATTTAAACAATATTCCCCACTCCATGCTCTTCTAAATAAGAACTGTGTTGCTATATATTTTTGTGTGTATTTGTAAACAAAGTTTCATTTTTGTAATTTTATTTTCTGGTGTTTTTTTCCTTTGAACTTGGCCAACCTGTGGTGCCAGATAGAGAGTAGAAATAGCTAAACTTAGCTTATTTTTGTTTTGCACATAATTTAGACTAAGTAATTATTTAAAATGTTTTTGTAAGTGCTAAAGATACTCTAAGCCCGAGCACTTTAATTTCCAATATTTCTTGGGCATTTAGAGGAATAATGATAAGCATTGCTTCTGTTTGAAGCCTATGTTCCTTGTTGATTGTTGCCCTGTTGTTGCCATGTTGCAGCTACGTGCTGTCCCTGCCACAGCACAGCACACAGTGGATAGTGCACAGGTGTGTGGCACAGAGATGCATGTTGTGGCATCACGTGTACATGTGTGTGTGTCACACACTTCAGTGGTGTCTGTTTTATTCTTTGGCCTATTTTTCTCATTTAACTGTAAAGTACCATTTTCTTTGGTCATTCTTTATTGGAATATTTCTTTGCTTTAAGAGCTGGAGAAATGTGGTTTGTTCTTATTGCACCAAAAAGGCTGTCTGGCTGCCACCATGCACTTGAACAGAGTTCCTCTTTCTGGCCCTGTCATTTAGGCTTTCATTTGTGCAGTGTAGTCTCCAGCAATATTGCTCACAGTCTCTTCATGATGTGGATTTTATGCAGCCCTTTCTATAGACATTGAGGAGAAGTGTTAGTATTTATCTCCTGTCACAAACAAGAGAATATGAAGGGCACTATGTTAATAGTGGAGCCACTGTTATTTCCTCTAGCTTCTTTTTCTTCCTAGTACTGGTTTGCCGAGGTGCACCAGTTACAACTCATTTCCTCACTAGTTCACAAAAATCTGCTTGCATGGCATTATTGAAATAATTTGTATAGATAACAGAAACATTGCCCCATATGTGAGAACAGATTCCTTGTAATATGATTACTCAAAACTTAAGGTTGTGTTGGAATGATCCTCTAGATCAGAAATCCATCTTTCAACCTTCATGAGAAACTTCAGAAAATAATATAAGAAATAAGAATCACTCCCCCTCAGTGGCCTGGGGCTGGCCACTGGCCTTTCCTGAGATGCTCAGTCACCACTGTGGGACAGAGCACTGTACACACACATGACAAGTCAGGATAGCAGGGAGCACACCCCTCTGTCCTGGCCCATCCTGCCCGGAGGTTCAGCCCCAAGTTCTGTGATACAGATGCCAGTGACGGGAGGAGAGAAGAAGAAATGAAGAATGATTATGTGCATACATGAAAGTGACACTGGACAGATTGTTTTAAATTGTGATAGTTTAGATCTCATTTTCTGGTAGACATACGCTATGGGATTTTAACCTTTGAGCATCTTTAAGAGAGACTTAGTGGGATGATGGAGAGATTCTTAGTCTGTCCAGGAGACACTGGTAAATCAGGACATCAGTTGAGGGGATCACTACAGGGGTGATTAGCTCAATATTACATAGTTTTCAAATGTATTTTGAGGAATTAGAATGTTTTCTTGAAAAGGAATCTATTGGGCATACAGGCTGTGGAGCCCAAGGTGTGCTCCTAGATCCTAGCCCACTGGTGGGTGGGGTGGGCAGACAAAGCCTCCTGTGACCCAGTGTTTGTGTTTGCTTTAAGGGGCTATCAGCAGCAGGATGCCCATGAGTTCATGCGCTACCTTCTGGACCACCTTCACTTAGAGCTCCAAGGAGGCTTCAATGGTGTTTCCCGCTCAGCAGTTCTGCAGGAGAATCCTACTCTTTCTGCAAGTAACAAGTGTTGCATGTAAGACTAGTTTCCTTGTAATGGTTTAATGGCTTCAGATGTTTCTGTTGGTGCTAATATATATTAAATTGAGCCTGGAAGGGTTTCTTGGGTGTATAAGTGGATTAACATGTATGATTCTAACCCAGAGGGATGGTTTTGCATACTGGTGTAGGTCTAGGTTTCAAGAGTTCTGATTAATGTGTTTGGTGCTAATTGAAGGTTTGAGTCCACCTATAGGTACCCGGCAAGAAAAATCTAGTAAATAAATCACAGAAAACCCTGTGGAACACAGAGTTCTACTTTACACACACACACACACACACACTCTCTCTCTCTCTCTCTCTCTCGTCTCCTTTTTGCCATAAGTAAAAAAAAATTAATAATAAAGACTGCAGTAACTGATTTATTGATTCTAATTGTTAATTGGTATCCATTTTTAAAACTTGAAAAAAAAATAGAAAATATAGATACAGGTTTAGCATGTAAAAGATATTCTCCCAAATGCGTAATGGATAGAAGACTTGATTTTCATATACTGTTCCAAATATTTGTTCAGTTTTTTGTTTTTAAAAATTTAAATAAATGATCTTTAATGTGACGTTTTCTCCAACCTAATTTTTGAAACAAATATTCCTCTTTATTTCAACTTTATTGAATGTGCCCAAAGAAATTAAGAGAGTTACATTACTTTAAAATATTTATTGTTTTCAAGATATGGGGGGAGGATCCAGGATCCTACAATCTAAATGCATAGCCAAATTAAATTTAAATCAACCGTCCATATACATTTTGTTTTATAACATTAGTTAGAGCACCCCCAATGTAATTGCACTTTTCTCACATCCTCCCTGTAATCCTCATTTCCATTAATTTTTTCTCTTACTCTTTTCTGCCTTCTCGCCTTTATTCATGGGATAATGCTGCTATTTTGACCTTAAATTGTTGGATGTGCTGAGGAGTAGTGCCTCCCCACTGCCTTTAATCTCTTCAAGGACATTACTTACACAAATGGGTTTTTTATTGAGGGTGAGGGGTGTGTGTGTGTGTGTAAGACTTGTTTATAGCAACAATAAAAAAAGACAAAGTTATTGCCATAGAGTCAGAACCATCTCATAGCTGACCCTCCAGCAAGTTTTCAGAAACTGTACATCACTCAGGAGGAGAGAGCTCATCTTTCTCCCAAGGAGCAGCTAGTGGCCTTGAACTGCCTGCCTTTGGTTTGACAGTGTAACTCCTTACCCACTAGGTCACCAAAGATCCTTATATTAATGTTCAGCACTTTCCATTATAAAGTCATCTCTCCAGACATAAAAATAACAGAATCTGTATTAAATTTCTTTTGCCTCTTTTTCCCCCCCTGAAATTTGATGACTGTCTAAAAAGATCTAAAATGGATTCTAGTTTATGTTGTTCAAAGTAAAATAAGTGAGAGACCTTTCAGAAATTTGCTTAGAAGGCAGTTCCCTTTTCCTGAAAGATGTCCTTACCTGTGTGAGGGAGATTATCTTGTCTTAAGTATAGGCACAAATGTGGTCTGTTGATTAGCACAGAGGAAGACCTTCAGGATGGTGCTACACCCGTGTTAGTTCTGGAGAAAGTAATGGGATTGGAAGTGGGATCTGGGAAAGATCTGCTGCTTTTCCCTTTTATTTTATCTGTTCTGTAGAGAGGGAGCTCTGGTGGCCTGTTGATAAGCTGTGATGCAGTCCCAAAGGCACATGGTTTGAATCCACCACCTGCTTCCTAGGAAAAAGATGGGCAGTCTCCTCCCATGCGATTTACTGCCTTTGACAGGCCATTGGAGAGTCAGCTACTAATCAGTTCCAACCGGACGGTATACAACAACAACATTTTGTATTGCTTTGATGTTTCTAAATTATTCGTAATTTAAGTGAATAATACACATATTTCTGCAAAGGAGTCCCTTATGGGGACCTTGCAAATACTCATTTTAGTTTTTCAAGTGTGAAAAAAAAATGTTTTTACTGAGCTGCTTTTTCCTCTGTGGTTGTTTCTTTAGAAATGGGGCATCTACTGTTGTCACGGCTATATTTGGAGGCATTCTGCAGAATGAGGTTAACTGTCTGATATGTGGGACAGAATCTAGAAAGTTTGACCCATTCCTAGGTAAGACATACTTGACATGTGGATATATGATACTTTATTAAAATAAGAACTTAATATTTCCTTTGAAAGTTAGCAGTGATAAATCTTTAGAAATATGCTTACTATAGAACTTCTTTTTCCACTGAATATAATTAAATGCTTTTTCAACAGCCTGTTTTCCTATCTTCTTTTAAGACCTTTCATTAGATATTCCAAGTCAGTTCAGAAATAAGCGCTCTAAGAATCAAGAAAATGGACCAGTTTGTTCACTACGAGGTAAGGAGACTTTAATATTCTTGAGTTATTTCTCTCTCTCCCCTGATTGCTTAGTAAGTTCCTAAGTTCCTCTTGGCATGTACTATGTGGTTAGTATTAGTATCTTTTGTAAGTTTGTGTTGTATCTTTATTCAAGCCCCCTTTTAGAATTGAAAAGAAAGAACAGTTTTATAAATGATGGTGTTATTTATTTTGTGTGAATAATAGTTTGAGAAATGTATTGCTGATAACACAGGAAATCATTGGTTAAGGATAAAGCTTTGTTAATTGCAAGATGATTAAAAATTCACATTTGCTTTGGGATACTTTGAACAGTTTTTTTCTCTAGCTAAGTGCTAATGACTTTAATCAAGGCAGATGACCTTATTTAAAATTTATTCCTAATCACAAATATACACATTGGTCATCATTACAATTATTAATTGTTCTTGTTAGAAAAAGAAGAAACACACCACACCAAGATAAAGGTAAACAACCCATTCACAAAATGGACACAGAATATGAACAGACACTTCACCAAAGAAGACATTCAGATGGTAAACAAGCACATGAAGTGTTCAAAATCCCTAGGTCTAAGAGATGCAAGTCAAAACAACTATGAGATATCATCTTAACCCCAGAAACAATAGCAGAATTCAACAGAGCAGCAAACAATAAATGTTGGCAAAGTTGTGGAGAAACTGGAACCCTTATTCACTGTTGGTGCGAGTGTAAAATGTGTGCAACCACTATGGAAGGCTGTATGGCACTTTCTCAAAAAGTTGGAAAAAGAAATACCATTTGACCCAGCAATTCCACTACTGGGAATATACACCAAAGAAAACCATAACCGCCATACAAGCAGATCTATACACACCTATGTTTATTGCAGCTTTGTTCACATTAGCAAAGATATGGAAACAACCAAAGTGCGTGTCAACAAATGAATGGCTAGAGAAGCTGTGGTAGAGTCACACAGTGGAATACTATGCACCACTGAAAATCAGGAACTCATTGTGCAAGAATGAAGATTTTTTTTTTCAAAGAGAAAAGCAAACTGGCAGGGTGGGTAGGGAGGAAGATGTGCAGCAATAAATGAGTGGAAATCCAGGTTCCCTATAAACTTTCGTTAAGATTTCAGTTAACATTTCTCTAAAAAATTAGAAAGAAAATAAGGTAGGAAAAGAGAAAGAGGACGTAATCTTAGCTCTTTCGTGAAGTAATTCTACAAAAAGGATAAAAACCATAATTTTCGTTCAGTGCTGTATGTTTTATCATTATTAGCTCTTTTTAAGGAATATTGCCATAATTTAAAAATGTGTGAAATTTGGCTTTTGTGGAATCGAAATGAAAATATGGTTGTAAGTAAGTTGTTAGGTGCTGTCAAGTCAACTGTGACTCACAGCGACCATATGAAGGACAGATCAGAGCCTGGCCCTGTCCTTACACTATCCTCATGGTTGCCCATAGGCTCAACTCTGTTGGTACAGACACTGTGTTGAGGGTCTCTCTCTGACCCTCCATCTTACTCAACTTGATATCGCTTTTCAAAGACTGATCCCTCCTGACAACATGGTCAAAATATGTGAGATGATGTTTCACCATCCTGGCTCTAAGGAACACTCTGGCTGTACTTCCTCCAAGAAGTTTGTTCTTTTAATAGGCCATGAGATGCTAAGTACTCTTCTCCAACACCTCAATTCAAAGGCATAGATTCTTTTTCTGTCATCCATATTCATTATCAAACTTTCAGATGCATAGGAAACGATTGAAAATACCATTTCTTACGTCAGGCACACCTTGGCCTTTATATGGATATCATTATTCCTGTAGCACTTTGGAGAGGTACTTTGCAGATTTTCACAATTCAGCCTGTGTTTTGATTTCTTGACTGCTGTTACCAGGGGTATTAAATATGAATTCAGGTAAAATAAAATTGACAGTGTTAGTCTTTCCTCCATCTTTCATGATGTTGCCTATTGGTCCAAGGTGAAGATAGTAACTTTAAAACACAAAAAAATTCTTTTAGAACTATACTGTCTAATATGGTATATACTTGTACATGATTTTACATAACTTGCTTTGGGCATATTATAAAAAGGAATTAGTCCCAGGAAAAAGACCTCGTGCCAGGTAAAGGATCAACAGAAAAAGGAAGATCAGCAGTGAGGTGACTGACAGCAGGAGCTGCAGCGATGGGTTTATGCAAGTCAGAGATTGTGAGGATGGTGTGGAATCAGACAACGTACATAGAGTTCTATTGTACATGGAGGCATGATGAGCAGGAGCCAGCTCCAAGGCACCTGATAATTATAGGCAGAGGGACTATTAACATTTTAATTAATGAAAATAAAACAAGAAGTTTAATTCCTTCATTGCAGTAACCACATTTCATGTAGCCACGTATGTATTGGGTTACAGATTTCAGAAAGGTCTGTTGGTCAGTGTCTGTAGAATCAGATTATACCAGTGAGAATAAAGCTTCCTGTTGGAGGATAAGCAGCCTTCTTGCTATCATGGTATTAAATGAATTGTGAGACATTTGCTTGTTAAAGCAGCAGCAGCAAATTTCTTTCTGTGACACTGTTGGTGGTAGTTTGGGAATACCTTACGGGGTCATGATCGTTGGGTGACTGAAAGAGATAGGAACAAAGCACTTCTGTGTATGAGAGCAGTGTGTGAATGCTGCCACATCTCTCCTTTCCTATCCAGCCAGTGCTGAATGCTGTCGTTGAACAGGAACATGCATGAAATTTAAGTATGTGCTTTCCACTCTACTTCCCCCCAAAATATTTGGCTATAGGATATTTCTCCGAAATGTGTTGTTTTGGTTTTTTGGTGTTTTTTTTTTTTTGCTAATAGAAATTAACATGCTTGAGATCACATGTCAGACTTACTTCCTCCTCTGTCTAGGACATGGCTTGCTAACTTAATCATAAATACTATTTGATTATTTAGAGAGGAAATCTGGGGAAATTAAATTATCAGAAAAATTAATGTCAATGTATATAATTTAAATTTGATTATGACTTCACTTTTTTAAATTCTTGAAGAATTGTTATAATACTGACATTAGTAAAATGTGAAATGCCAAGTAAATATATTTGATAATATTTCCTAAATGCCTAACAATACCAGTAAACCCAGTGGTCCTAGGCTGGAAGACCCAGATGCTGGTTTGTACAGGGTTTATTTTTTCTTACCTCTCTTCTGTCTCCCTATATTCCATCTGGGGTGCATGTGGCTCTTTTGTCTTCCTTCTGATTGTAGTTCTTACATTTCCCAAAGTACGCAGTACCCAACAGTTTCTTTTCCTTCAGACCATTGAGGTGTGTACCTGTCTCTGCTGGATCTGTACTATAAACAAGAAAACTAGCAAGGCAGATGTCATTGATTTACCATACAAGGTCGTATTTTTCTTGGCACAGATTTGTTAAAATCTCATGGGACTGGAATACTGTACTGCATTGAAAAATGAACTCATGAAATATTATACAAAATGGGTGACCTTGGAGGACATTATGCTGAATGAAATACCTCAGTCACAAAAGGACAGATACTGCATAGTGTCACTGTTGTAAAATGAGACTGATGTAGGGGGAGGGAGACTGAGGTAGAGGGGATAAATAATGTATACTGTATTGAAACATATGAGTGAGAGAACTGTTTCAAATGGATATGTGATCAGGTATTGTCATGACAGGAACTGCAGAGTAGAGTGGACTTGGGGGGAGGGATTGTATAACAATGAAAGACTTTTACTTTTCAAAGAGAAGAGCTAATTGGGGGAAGGGCTGGGCAGGGAGAAAAGTGCAACAATGAATGAATAGAAATCCAAAGTCTCTATAAACTTTCATTAAAATTAATTTTACAATATTAATATAAAAAACCCAAGAAAAACCAAATTTCATGTGACTGATGTTAGCTTCAGGGAGCCTGGACCATATTGAGGGGCTTGAGTTTGGTGTCAGCGTGGCTTCTGTGTTTTCAGCTACTTTCCTTTGGGTTCTCATGTCTGATATATTTTGTTAGTGGCTTAATGTTGCCTTTAAAAAGTAATAAATAAGGCCTAATAATCCTTCACTTTTTCTCTTTTTTAAAAAAATCATTTTATTATGCTTTAATCCCTATACCACCAGCCCCTCTTGAGTGATCGTATCAACTGTTGTCCAGTCACTTCTAGCTCAGAGTGACCACCTTCAGGTTCTGGCACTGTATATTTCTGTGATGAGAGATAGCTTATCTTCGTCAGAGTGACTGATGGAATCAAATTGCCAACCTTTTGGTTAATAGCTTAACACATAGCACACTAGACTGCCGGGCTTCCGAGCTCCTTCAGGATGGAACTAACTCATTACAGACCCTCCAGTGAGTTTTCAGGGTCTGTTCTCATGGCGTGGTGGTAAGAAGCTGCACTGCAATCCTGAAGGCACATGGTTTAGATCCACCAGCTGCTGTACGGGAGGATGCTCAGTATCCTCCTGTGCACTTAACTGCCTCTGAAAATCCACTGGAGGGTCAGTGGTAAGTTGGTTCTGACTTGATGGTACACAACAACAACTATATGGGAGGAGATTGGCCATCCACCCTTGGAGCAGCTGCTCGATTCTGACCACTGGCCTTTGGGTTGGCAGTGCACCTCTCTTACCCACTCGGCCCTGGAGCTCTTTTCTCTTGGTAACAGTGGTAAACAACAAAGAGAACGAGTCTGTCAGAGTCTGTGGGGAGGGGCTGTAGGGAGCTACTGCAGGAGGGGCACTGAGTTTCCATTTCAGGTGAGATAAAACTTTTAGAAATGCCTAGAGGTGGTGACAGTACAGCATACTGAATGCTGTTAATGCCACTGAATTGTACCCTTAAAAATGGCTAAGTCGACTGAGAAAAACGGGATAAATTATGTATACTGCATTGAAACAGCTGAGGGAGAGAAAATTTAAAAGCAATATATGATAGGGTATTATGGTTATCCCAAGAGTCCAGAATGAAGGTTGCGTAGTGGAGTGTACTCGGGGTGGTAGGGG